AAATTAATATTTTTAAATAAAAAATTATAAAATTAATATTTTTTTTACACCTTTTACCCATAAAAGAAATCTAGCCACTTTAATTTCTAATCAGCAACTACGTGGCTGCATCTTTTTGTCCCATGCTACACCACCTTCGTACAAAGATCCTTGACTAATTTTGGTCTTCTTTTTGTTCACAAAATAGACTACTACTTTTGCTCACCACTACGTGGCTCAGTAGCTACGCTTCTCATTTGAGAAGTAAAGTGAGGCGCCTTGCTCTTCAAGTTGAGCCCAGTGCTCGACATTCTCTTCTCTTTTTAATAAATATTAATATTGCCACTTAATGTAATTTAAATAATTTAATATTTTTAAATAAATAATATAAAATAATAAAAAAATATTTTAAAATTATATCATTTCAATAAATTTTAATTAAAAAGCTAAAATAACATATTTTAAAGAAAAAATAAAGACTATTTTATTTTATTTTATTTTTTATTAAAACATTGTAATTTTGGTGTGACACTAATTAATCTCATATAAAGTATAGTTTCTTTTTTCATGTAATTCTAGATATCACATAAACTTTAAATTAGGAATGTATAATGCATATAAATAAAATATCAAATCTGATTACCAGTTTGATAAAATATAATTATATAAAAAGTTACAACTAGTATAAGATTATATGTAAGTTATACTAATATAAGTTAATCTTAATTGTTTTTTTAAATTCTTTTTTACCTCGATAAAATTTTATTTCTTAAGAATGGGTCCCAAAGAGAAAAATTGCCACTTTACCTTGGTCCTAATTATTTCCTTTAGATTTGAAATGGATCCCATCAAGGGCGGACCTACTCTTGAGAGGAGTTATATAGGCACAAACTCTACCCTCCCCTCAAAAGACTTCCATAATTTTAAAGTCTTGCAATTATGAACTTTACCTATTAAAATCAACATGATACACAGAACCTTTTAATTTTATGCCCTATTACTCAAAAATAGAATAGACCTTATCCAATACTAGATTTTGGTTCAACTCCTTGTTTCTATAATTCAAATATCAAAAACAAATTTTGTCGTAAACAAAAATTGATATATCTTATTAGACATTTTTCAAAAGTGTAGCAGGTCTGTGGTAGCTTCGTCCACGATGTCTATGTTAAGCTTCCTTTTTCTAATATTTTTTTAGATACTACATTTATATTTTTTTGTTCAATATAAGACACCATGTGATTGTACCATTAAATGAGTAAATTTATATAATATGATAAGAAAATAATTGATATATATTTAATTTAATACATTTTATGACACTTATTTTAATTTAATTATTAAAATATAATATAAATATAATCAATTCAATTAGTTCATACATTTTATATGCATGATTACATTTTTAAATCTATTTGCTTTTAATTTTATATTCAATAATAATAATAATTTTTTAATAAATATATTTTTAATATGTTAAATTAGAGTGTATATTAATCAGTCCTACAATGATACATTATGTGGTGCTTCCCAAATATAAAGTGTTATGATTATAACTGCTATTAAATTTGTTAAGGTCACCAAAAAGTATCAAATTTTTATCTTAATTTAATTGTTAAAAATAACTAATAACTAATAAAACAATTAATATTTATTATCTAACAAATTAAAAAAAATTAGGGTTAATATTTATCCGCTTTATCTCCAAAAAATTAAGAGAAAAAAAAAACAAAAATTACTTTAATGCATGCTTTAAAAATAAAGTAGTTTAGTCTTTTTCAATAAAAATTTATTGAAATGACGTAGTTTTAAGATAATTATCTTTAAGAAATAAGGTTGATAGACACTATTTCTAAAAAAAATTTATAAACAAATATTTTCAAATATCATAATTAATTATTTTAAAAAATTAATTAATTAAATTAATGATAACAACCTGAACCACATAGAGTTATCATATAACACTAAGTTAGTTATCACGTTACATTATAATTGATATTTTGTGATGCAGAACGTGATAATATCCAGAAAATAGAGCAGTGCTAGGGACAATCGCCCCTCGCACTCGCCAATCAACACCTCCCCATCTATTCAGCCACATCACCTTGCTTTTGAAAGATAGATCGGAAACTGTTGAAAAAAATTGTGTAAAAATGATCTGCTTCCTCTACAATCTATAATTTATGATTAGGTATGATCTTAGCAAACTCAAAAGTATCTTCAACTGGGATTTACTTGGTCAGCAATTCCATGGATTGTCAAGACCATTAGAAATAAATAGCATGTTGGCAACCACTAACTGATTAGCATCAACTAAGCATACTGACAATCTAATATACCAGAAAAATGAAAGTAAATAGCTAATAACCAAGCCTTTGTCTGAAGATAAAAATGGGTAGTCAACAAATTTTCAAGAAAGGATCAGTATTTTATAGTTTATATAATTCCAAGTGAAACCTCTCCTTTACCAAAAAGAGAGAAACCTTCTGGAAAAAATCTAATCCCAATATGTGTTAAGAGAAAATGCCTTAGCAAAAACCCATTTAGGCAATTCTACAAACACATGGTGTGCATAGCTTAAAGAGACGCTAAACCCCCCGAACTCATCTAATCAAAACTCAAAATTTTATTTCCTATTATCTACCAGTTCTTTTCGAGAAACTTCATCAATAACTTCAATCGCACATGTTACCCAAACACTACGATTAATCATAATATTTACCTTAATTAACCATCCATTTGAGCCTAAGAAAAGCTTCCTCTGCTTAATTTCTCCATAAATTGAGAGCTCTAGGATATTGATTGGACCAAGGATTGATTTCGTAGATGAAATCGTGGCTTGCTTGCACCACTTGAAACAATTTAGGACCAATTTACTTTCTCAACAAGATTTCGAAAGAAAGAAACAGATAACAATTGCATAAGTACAAATCCCCATAGAATGAATCCAAAAGGAGATTAAGAGGAAATTTCCAATGGGAGAAATCCCCATGAGAAATCGAAGAAGAAATCGAAAAGTGAATTGAAAAAGAAAAATTATTTGAGACGAGGCACTGGTGGGGTAGTAAGGAAGCAAAAGAAAAGAACGACAAAGGTTGAAACCGGTCTTATGGGCAAAACCCCAAATCCACCCTTAAAAAGTGGGTAGGATATATTCATCCCTAAAAAAAAAAGCATATGAATAAATTACGTGGTTAATAAAATTTATTAAAGAAAATGAGTGATTTATATTAATTTATAATTTAAAAAAATAATTTACCCTCATATTTTTATATAAAGTATATTTAACCATTCTCAATTTTTTGTAAGGGTGGATTTAGGGTTTTGTGTTTCTATTTTGTTTTGATTTTTTTTTAAAAAAAAAGCTAGGTCAAAGGATAACATGGCAAGCCCACCATTTAAGTAAAGATAAAATTAAATATAAATATTTAATGCATTATTTAAATAAAAAATAAAATAACTAAATCAAATTACTTTTATTTAAAAAAATTAAACAGCTAAATTGAATTGAAAGATAATCCGAATTGAAAGATAATCCAAACTACCAAAACACAGAACTCATTTTAAATAGGGTATTTTTTTGCCCAAAAATTATGTGATTAATTTAGTTTTATCAACTAATAACAAAAAAAAAAATGGTCAAGACCACAATAAACGGCGAAAAAGACATGTGATGTGAACTCAACCGGGTGGGGTAGACATAAACTATTTACTATTTATCCA